GCGACAGAGTCATCTGGAGTTACATCTCCTGTTTCTAGCACTGGGAATTAAACGATAAAGTCGACCAGCGGTTACCAACGGTATAGGAAAATAGGACGTCAGCGGTTACCAGTGGTATAGGGTTTTAAGGGTTAAAGAAACTAAACCCCTGCACAATTACCGCACTGCACTCGCCAACATGTGAGCTCAGACAGAAGGTTTTGCAATAAAAGAATATAATATTTCTCCAATATGTATCTCATCTCAGTGGAATAAAACCATTCAGAAAATAAGCAAACCTGAATCAGTAAATCACAAATAGAACAAGTGTTCATCGCCTCAATAGACAAATCCAAAGGACCATCTTCATTGCCAGGCCGGTCACTATCACTAGCCTCACTGGTAGAAGTGCCGCCATGTTTTTTCTTTGCATCTTTTGACACTTTCTTGCTCACCACTGGTCCATATTTAACTGGCATGTGCAATGGTGGTTGAAGACCTGATGTGAAAGGAAAAAAAGAGGAAAATTGTGCACAAACATAAAAAAGGATCTGCGAAAAAGGTTTGTGCAGATTCCATTGCGAGCTGCCTATGCTATGAAAATAAGGTCTATTAACTCACTAGAGCTGTGTTCACACGTGAGTAGGAGAGAAAAAACCCATCTACATTGTTATTATTTTTTTTTTTATCACACCTGTTGCAGAAAGTCTGGTTGAGCAGCCATGTTCAATCCTGTCCCCTGTGCAGCATCAATACAAAGCGGACAAGAGCCTTACTGCTTCACCACAGAAAATAGACTGAACAAACTTTATAGATTCACAATGGAAATTTTGGGTGTATATACCAGAACATCAATATATACAAAGATTCAGCATCAACACAGAAATGTACTCAGATTAGTTGCAGGAAACATGCTTCCCGTGAAGTCGTGAATGTTTCTGGGTGTTCTAGGGTCTAATAGGGTATTAATATAAATTGTAAAGCACATAGAGCTTGCTGTTGAGTGTGGATATCAAATATGCAAATGCTATTTATCATTCATAACAGCAAATATTGTTTATTTGCGGCCAATTCAAATTTAGTTTCAGATTTTGTTTACAGGACGTGGTCTTTGTAAAATGGACGATTTTGTAAGCTACCAGAAACTCTCATTTGACAACACAGATGCCACAGAGATTTTGCTAAATAAAACCCTGAAAATTGAAAATTTACAGTCGAGTGTGCAAACAAAAAGGCAATTAATGGACACAATATGTGCACTGAGAATGATACTGTTCTTCTTATTGGACTTTAGAGAAAATAATGGAAATAACAGCATAAAAAGGAGAAACTGCATTCTTGTGAAAACTCAACAAAGCTCTTTCTTTTTAGCACTAAGGAGAAGCATACTTTTTTGTCTATATATATATATA